TGCCACGTTAGAGACACCAGGCCTAACTCTTCGGGTAAAGACACATGGTCTTTCGAAACCAAAGGACGCTACGAATATTCAAGACAAAAGAAACTGTTAGGATAAAATTTCATCTAGTAATTTCAACATTAAATTGATGAGACCTAACTACCAATCTAGTACTCGGCTGAAGTTCATGAAGTCGATGTAGCAAAGTTCATCAAAACAATTGTCATAAAAAATATTTATAGAAGAGGCACAGGAAAGCTAGTTATAGCCGTTTACTGTGGCTGAGATGCCAGATCAGGACCGATAACATTGCAGATTCTTCTATGAATTTTGTCAAGAATCTGTAGATACATAGCAGAAACACAAGACCAGATGTGACAGTCATGTTCAATGAGTCACACCGAGCTACATCGCTCGCTCACTTTCTGGTGCGACTGTTCGGTTCAACTCTCTTCCTACGGGCGGGAGGAACCCGAAGGAGGCTACGACGAAGGAGGCTACGCCGAAGGACGGAGTCTCCTTCGGGGAGGTAAAACCGGCCCTGAACCTGTTTGTACGGGTTCGAATGGGCTATTTTTTGGCCGAGCCAAATGGCTCGGGAATGCCCACGTTAAAAAGGCCTTGTGCCACATGACACCCTCGTGGAGGGTGACTAAATATCGTCATGTTCAATGAACGGCCGAATGGAAAACTTGTAAAGATGAAAGGCAGATTCGGGTGGCAAAAATTGTTTAATACGACACAGTGAACCGATTTTCCTAGCAGTATACAGCGGTTAGCAAGCAGATCTTTACAACGATTTCTACTGTTAAGCGAATTCGTCCATCATTCGGTGACCCACACCTGTGACCATGTGCCAAAATAAGCTTAGTAAAGTCATAATAGGAGTAGATAAGTTCACGGATTGTCCGGTTCTCACACCTCAATAATCTTTTGAACAGGAGTAGAGGTTTATCCCTTGTTTCCTGTTTAGGATTGGGATCCAGTTTCTTTTCAAGTTTTCTCGTTGTCATTAACTTCTAGTAACTCATTGCGTTTTAGTGGCTTTATCACCTTATTTGGAGTGGAATGGAAAAAATGTATTTTTTTTACGTTTCTCTGTCCCTAACGTTTGTCATTCTAAAGCAAATAAATTTAACAAGTGAATCTTATCTTCATGAGAACGTCCGAACTGGAGGTAACCGGGATGGTGGCATATCCATTGAGCTGGTGTGTTTGAACGACACATTAAAATTAGCGCATTTACCTCAGCATAACACGTACCCTCGCGTAAGATACCACTCCCCCCAAAAAAAGATAAGATAAGAAGATCGTATTGCGTCAATATTCCAACTGGATATGTATTACCTGTCTACCGAAATGAACAGCTGACGCACTTCAACGTGACGTAAGGGTTAACAAGCTTGTCTCACTAGATCAATTACAACTGAAAATTAAGTTCGATCCTTACTAGATGCCCCATACTTTCGGCCTTGTGCCATACCTAAACTACACTTAGAAAATCAGCATTTTAAGTATTCGACGTGGTTTAATAGCAAGTTTGTATCGCTAGATCAATTACGACATGAATAGTGAGTTCGATCCTCACTGTGTGCTCTATACCTTCGGCCTTGTGCCACATCTAAGTTACGCTTAGAAAGCCACTACCTACATGAATAGCTTTATAAATCAGCTGCAGGTTTCGTGTGACCCCTTACTAAAAGCGATCAGTGTATTTCAAGGTCGGTCTCACGTCATGCTAGTAATATGCGCTGATTGTTAAACATAAAAGTGTTCCCCGTTCTTTTTATAACCAGAGAAAGCAGCTCCAATTACAAATAGGAAGAAGGAGATCCTAATCAGATGGGACGTATTATAGCTGATAAGTAGCGAGGGTCAGGCCAACGCGTCTACCCGGCTGACCTCTGGGAATAGACCCTAGTATTATTTATTCATCGCACAGAATCAGCAACTATTGACACACGGAATTCTATATTTCCAACTTCATATAGAGCGCGACTTGAAAAAAAAGCCTTAAAACAAAATGCATTGTCTCTGTTTAGCCACAGACATCAGTGTGTTCCTCTGATTTGACCTCATTTAACATAAGGGGCAGGTATCAAGTGGAATAGATCTCCAGTAACCAGTTTATATTTCGTTTTTTTCTTCTTTTTTTTATTATTATTATCGTTCTCTTGAAACGATCGCGTTGTAACTATTTTACTACTGTCGTCCAAATAACATCACTTGTAGACAAAATACAAGATCCATGCGTTTAGCTGTTCTCTAACAAATATATCTTTAACGCAAATAGAACATTTGTTTTTGCGTCAACTCTACCCGTTCTGTCTCTCAAAATGCTACTAAGCATTTCGAAGTGACACCTTCCACAACAAGGACAGTCTTTTTCACACACACAACTTTTTTTCTTCGTTTCAAGACCGAATGTTGCAAACAAGGGTCAGATATAAATTTCACACATTTCGCGGTAACATGACTGGCGCTAGACAATCATGAACTATTATTTATTGAGTTCCATTTCATGAGAAATGTACACTAAAATGGAAAATTTTTTGCATTAAGTCAAAGAGACTCCAAACAAAAAGCAAACTTATATATTTATAAAATATACCTTAACTTGCATGAGTAGGAAGATGGGAAGATTGTATTGCGCCAAATGAGACCTTACCTTGGGTTCCAACAATGACCATGGGAATATGCAAATAGCTAAGTACCAAGTCGGCCTCGAAGAAGCGCATTCGAAATGTCGGCCTTGAACGACGGTGGGGGGTGGCATTTGTGCGCACTGGACGCTGACAGGGTCGAAATATTGTAGAAAGGATTTTAAAAAAGATTTTCTTTCTTGAAAGAAAGAAAGAAAGAAAGAAAGAAAGAAAGAAAGAAAGAAAGAAAACGGAAAAAAAAGAAAAAAGAAAGAAAGAAAAGAAAGGAAAAAAGTAATGAAGGCCGAGAGAGGTGGGGGGAGATAATTGTCAATCCATAAAAGATTAAAAGGCGGAAATAAGGTAAATTCATTTTGCGGTCGACATAAAAAGATTTTTTTCAGTTCATTGTTGTAAAGACAAAATAGAAAATAACACGTCGAAATCTGTCCGTCTGTCTGTCTGTCTGTCTGTCTACTTCCTTCTTTCATCCCTCCCTCCCTTCCTTCCTTCCTTCCTTCCTATCTATACTTGCTTCAGTGTAACCCGGATATAAGAGACCCGGATATAAGAGAAACTCGGATATAAGAGAGATTTTCTCTGGTCTCAAATTAGAGCCTGTGTTAATGTATATAAAACAGACCAAACCCGGATATAAGAGACTTCTTCTCCGGTCCCAACAACTCTCTTATATCCGGGTTACACTGTAGATATAAATATGAAATCCGTACATTTATCTGAATCACACACAGACACACACACATATGCTTCTTCATATTCATCATATTTATTTACTGAGTTATTCATTTTGTGTTTGTCATAAGAAGGCATTTTGAAACGGGATCAGATTTCCCGGACTTCATTCAAATGGATTGATTTTCATTGCGTTTCACTTTTCTTCATGGATTGCAACACTGAAAAATGAAGAAAAATAATGAGCAAGATTTTGGACATGTTTTTTTTTTTTTTAATCTTAAGAAAGATAAGAAAAATAAAGAAACAGTTGAGAAAAGATCCATTCCCCCCCCCCGATATGGGTTAAATAGCAGGACAGACTGGGTTCTTTAGCCTTGGTTGGCAACCAGTCAACCGCAAAAAGGAATGGCAACTTACCGCGGCAAAAAAATCTTGCCTCGTCAGTCATGTATTGGCAGATAGATGATCGGCCAAGCGTGTATCGCGTGTCGCACTTAAATGACTGACTGAATTATTTATTCCGCAAAACGAAGCTCTGAGGTCAGGTCCATCTGTTGAATGTAAATTGCAAGACAAGACATTGTTTGAAAATAATCAAAACCTTATATAACAAGGGAGATAACGAACCAACTCTAAATATCCATATGAAACAATGAAAATTATTTGCACCAGGTTGGTTATGATAGTCGCTTTGATGTATGACTTCCACATAAATTAACTGAAACGAAACCTACGGTTCGCTTCTTAAATATAACGGAAATATTTTATTTTAAAACAAATTGTGATGGGCGAAGAATTGTGATTAGTTTACAACAATACGGTATACAACAGAACGTGTCTCGAACGAAATAAACAAAAATAGCTTTTTCGCCAAAGAAGGTAATATCATTTTTAAATCAATTTAATTCACCTTTAAGCAAGGCGATAATGCCACTAAGACGCAAGGGCTACTGATAGTGAAAATAAATGAGAAAACTTTAGAAAATAGCGGAAAAAACAATCCTAAACAGGAAACAAGGGATGAAGCTCTGTTCTTATTTCAAGAGATCGATGGCGGAGTTGAATATAAGTCCATTATTATGATCTCGTTACCAAGAAGCCATTGACTGATTCGAAAAATACTTACTATTCTTTTATGCGCCGTTTTTCCTCCAGGGTATGAGTGATTATGCCTCTCCACAACTTCCTATCCCTCGTAGCTTTAAGCTCGGTTTGTCCTGTTACTATTAGCGCCATTTCCCGTTCTGTAATGGTATCGTTTGTTTCTCTTCAGGGTGTGACCGATCATGCCTCTCCACAACTTCCTATCCCTCGTAGCGTTAAGCTCGATTTAGTAATTTTGTTCCCGTTCTGTAATGGTAAACGTTCTTTCGTGACAGAGCAAAACTGATGACGGATTGATTGGAATGTTTTGGATTTTTTATCCTTTCATTCAATATTTCTTCTCGTCTTGACAGAATCATTTTAAGGGGGAGGGGGAACCAATTGGCCGGAAGACGATAAAAGACACTTAGGATAATTCTTTGCCGAAAAAGATTAACCCTTCTGCGAAGACGGAATGGTAAAGTTGCATGAAAGATGCCAGAAAAAAAGGGTAACAGAAGAATAAATAGGTTGCTCAGTTAATTAATAAAAAGAAAGAGACATTTTGGCCAACAACGGCACCACTGGCAGCTTGTCTTTCTCTGTCATTTTCGTTATATCTATCTCAGTTTATTCACATCTATCTATCTGTCTCCTTGTATCAATCTATCTATCTATCTATCTATCTATCTATCTATCTATCTATCTATCTCGGTATGTTCATATATAGCTAGCTAGCTAGCTATCTTAATCTATTCCTATCTCTCTCTCTCTCTCTCTCTCTCTCTCTGTGTGTGTGTGTATCTCATTCTATTCATATCTATCAAAGTCTACTCATATCTATCTATCTATCTATCTATCTATCTATCTATCTATCTATCTATCTATCTAAGTCTAGTCATATATCTCTATTTATCTCAGTCACCTCGTTTCTATCTGTTTATCTATAGCTCTTAGTCTATTCATATCTATCTATCTATCTATCTATCTCAGTCTCCGTATCTCTCTCTCCCTCTCTCTCTCTCTGTCTGTCTGTCTCTCTCTCTCTCTCTCTCTATATATATATATATATATATATATATATATATATTAGTTTATTCATATCTATCTCAGTCTCCTCTGTCGTAGTGTATTTATACCTAAGTCACCGCGTAACTTTTTATCTATCTATCTATCTATCTATCTATCTATCTATCTATCTGTATCCGTTCATATCTAATTTATCTATCTTTTTCAGTCTGTTCATATCTATTTATCTATATATCTTTACCTGTTTGCATCTATCTCAGTCTAGTTTATATCTATGTATCTATTTATCATTAGCTCTCTGTGCATGGATAATATATTTGTGAATGTTTTGCGCGCTAACCTCGAAGGCGGGAGGGATGCATTTCACATTTTATACTCGAACGCATTGTATTTATTCAAAAATAAAATAAAAAATAATAAAAGTGTTTTGTTATTTTTGGAATGTGAGACGCGCAACTGTTTACCATTCTTTCTTTTCTCAGCTGGAGAAGAAAAACAAAACAAAACAAAAACCGATTTTGCTGTTTCAATTTCTCCTTTGTTTTCCAAACCCGATTCGTTATTATTTCATAAATTCAAAGAATCAACGCCTCGTTCTAACTCCGATTTCATCGGCGCATTACAATCATTTTGCGCCCTTGCATATTTGCTTAAAAAAATAAAATGAAAGAAAGAAAAAAAGTTCTCTTTTTAGACTAAACATTATTTTAGCTGAATTTGCTTTTTGCATATTAAAATAGGACGGTTGTGTGTGTGTGTGTGTGTGTGTGTGTGTGTGTGTGTGTGTGTGTGTGTGTGTTATGAAGAATATTTTTATGAAAATCAGGTTGTGAAACAAGATGCAACGTAATAAAAAAATCCATGTGTTTGCTAATCTGTTTAATTTTCAAATAACTGCTGGAGTGACGAATATTCAACAACATTGAATTTTAAATTACCGTATATACTCGCGTATCATGCGAATTTGAAAACCTAATTTTAAAGCTAATTTTAAGAAGGTCGCATCATACACGAGATATAAAATTAGCGTATGCAATGCTCACCCATACGCTAATGCTATATCCCGTGTATGATGCGACCCCCATAAAATTAGCTTCAAAATTAGCTCTTCAAAAGTCACATGATACGCGGGTATATACGGTCCTTTTTTTAGGAGACAGCTTTGACGGGTGCAGGTCTGTGGGTAGCGTAGCGGTTACGTTCACTGTCGCCTAAATATCATTGGAAAAGGCATGAACCCATCACTCTCTGAAATGGATTCTCTTGAGGCAGTAACTAGTCTAGGTCAGGGGTTTTCAAACTGTGGCCCGCGGACCACAGAGGGTCCGCAAGGACAAGATAGGGGGTCCGTGGACAGCAAAGACTTTTCTATGAATGACGTGCAACTTATAAGCGCTTATAAGTAACTTATAGGCCGATCATGAAATAAATTGATTCAATAAACTATTTCATAGATTTGATATACTAATATAATTTGTATCTTAAATTGATAAAAATAATGGATTTTATTCATACAGAGAAGGAACCAAAGGAATTGAATTTGACATGCAGCATTAATTTATTTGAACACTTATGTCTAAAGTAAACTTTAAACCTGCTTTTATTGCATTAATGCAAAATTATATGTTATATTCAACAAATATTGATGGATAAATTTCATAAGCATTTATAAAGGGGTCCCTAAGGTAAAGCCTGAAATATAAAGGGGTCCGCAAGTCATAAAGTTTGAAAACCCTTGTTCTAGGTGAAGGAAAACTTTGAATTCTGTCTTGCCCTCGAGATATCGTTGTTGCTATGGCTACAGTTTATGCGGCACCCGGATGAACTTAATGAGTTACTGGATTCATAACGAGACGCGACACGACTTGACGAAACCAATGACCTCAAGTTCTCTAAACGTGAAAAAATTGTCTTTATGAAATCATTTTATTACTTGATGACGTTCAAAAACTTGGCAAGTTCTCAGCCTGACCAAGAAGCCTAATCAGTCAAAAATGTGATGTTTGATTAGATTTTGAAAAATGGATCAGATGAGACCATTTTGCCTCGCTCTCATATTGCACCATTTTAAAAGATCCAGAAAGGTTTCATTACTCTAGTCTCTGATATCTAGAAAAAAAATTAAAAAATGCAATTTCGAATAGAGTGGATGTGCAGGTGGTGTAACGAATAGCGACTTGCAGTAATAAATCGGAGAGCTGGGTTCGAATTCTGTCCTCAACTAAAACGTCTGAAATAAGGAAGCAAATCAATATCCGACCCTGCCGATGACCCTACCACTAAATCGACCCCTGACCCATTGCAACACTCCTCACCCAAATCGACCCCCTGACCCATTGCAACACTCCTCACCCGAATTGACCCCTGATCCATTGCAACACACCCCACTCTTATCGACCTCTGACCCATTGAAACACTCCCCACCCAAGTCGACCCCTGACCCATTGCAACGCTACCCACCCTACTACTATTATTGGTGTTGCTGTGGAGAAGGGATTTTTTTTTTTACCCAGCGGAAATGCTAGTGCCATCTTTTCATACCCAGGTTTGGGGCCCGACGGGACTGAAGTCATTTTCTCTATATATTAAATTGAAAATCTGATAATTGTAATGTTGAATTGTGAAGTAAACATCAAATGTATTGGGTTGAGAACGAAAAACTTACCCCCGCCCCGCCGGGCAATGGGGGGGGGGGGTGAGTTGAGAGAGAAATACGGCAGTTATTAAGGCTGCCAAGGATAGTAGAGGAGCCCACGCAATGGATTGATCGATGAATTACTTTTCTAGAAATACTTTCATCGGAATTGTTCTGATCAACTTTTATGAATTTATGCGCAGTACTAGATTGGCAGATAGGTCCTATCATTTTACAGTTGAAATGGCGAGATGTAACCGTAAGTTCTATTCTAATAGTTTCTTCTATCGCACTTCTCGCTTGTGGAACTCTCGTCTGGCTTCTTGCTTCCCTGTCGAGTTTGATCTTCATAAATTTAAATGCACTGTCAATCGTTATCTTCTTTTTTCTTAATTCCTCTTCTTTTATTGTTCTCTCTACTTAATAATGTTTTTCTTTTTCTCATATTCTTTCATACTCAGTAACCCCCCCTTGCGTCTTAGTGGCTTTATTTCCTTGCTTGGAGAGAAACGATTAAAATTTAAATGCAGTATCAACGGTCATCTTATATCTTCTTAATTCCTCTTCTTTTATTGTTCTCTCTCCTTAATAATGTTTTTCTTTTTTCTCATATTCTTTCACACTCAGTAATACCTGTTGCGTCGTAGTGGCTTTATTGCCTTGCTTGGAGAGAAACGATTAAAATTTAAATGCAAAGTCAATCATTATCTTCTGTCTTCTTAATTATTGTTCTTTTATTGTCTTCTCTCCTTAATAATATTTTTTTACGATTTTTCTCACGCTCAGTAACCCACCATTATATTCCAGTGGCTTTATTGCCTTGCTTAGGAGGACATTATTTTTTTAAAAAAATGAGTAAATGCGTGTTGAAACCGTACCCATGTCTAATGAAAGTTTCGATAAAATAATCGATATACTGAAAAGATAATGAAAATGCTTATTTTTATGTTCGACATGATTTGTTCAGGCAAAGTGTTTATGTTTGAGCGTATAAACGCCATCACAAACAACATATGAGTCCGCCATCTTGAGCAATAAGTACGCTATCAAAAAAAGCAATCAGGCGGGAAATACATATATGAGAGATTAGTCAATTCTTTTCCCGCCATTTTCTACCTTATGATCTGCTGTCTCAAGTTCTGACATGAAGTCCTTTTTTTTATTACTGCACGCTCTACTGAAATCAGTTTCTCCATTCTGCATTTGTATTGCTCGCTCTGATGACATTACGTCGAAATCCTGGGTATGATAATAAACTACATCCGGCAGCAAGGCCTCTGATCGAGAGATTGGAGGTTTTGAGGGGCGTGTTATCACCACTTAATTGTTGTTTTTCTCAGGGTTTCCTTTACCCAGGATGGTAGCACCTGTTAAGGTCTCAGCAGTGGGCAAATAGTGACCCCCCCCCACAAAACAAAAAAAACACAATGAAAGTATAAAAATGCATGTTTATAGTAAAAATACTAACTGACAAAAATACCTATTTATAGTAAAATTACCAGCAATACATTTTATCTGTAGTTGAAGGCTTACAATTGCGTACAAAATATAGTTAACTGAAACCATAAAATTGTGTTCAAAATAAAGAGATTTCGGCATTAAATAGCCCATAGAGTTTTATATACTACCAAACAACTATCAATCAACCAGACAAACAATAAACATGAAAAAACTCTTTCATGACATTAATCCATATAATATCCTACAATTTTTTAAAGGAATCAAACTGTATTCCAAAATATAACTTTTTAAAATTTCAACATAAAACATACATATCACCGCCACTAGTAATTATATCCACAAAAGCATGTATATGCACAAAAGCTGAGAATTATCTACCATGTATTCAATTGTGAAAGCAGAATAACATGTCATATTTTTATTAATTCAAAGCTCTCAAGAAAATTAAATTTCGGCATTAAATGACTCATGAAGGAGTTGATATGCCGCTAAACAAATCAAAACATTACCTCGCTTTTATAGACGACGCAAAACCATTTGATAAGTTAAAACACAATAAGGAACAATTTGAACTGTTAGGAGAACTTGGTTTATTCAGTGGGGTGGATATTAGAATACCCCAGAACATTTACTGGGAACAAACCGACTACATACAAAAAGAAAATGAATTAACCAGGTACACAAAAATAGAAAGGGTGGTGTGAAACAAGGATACGTCTTCTCGCCGGACTTACTCAACCTTTACAACAAGGCTATTTTAACAGAACTGGAGGTTCTGATATCTATCCTCCTGTATGGCAGATACAGATAAAAACAACTTCAAGCAACAGAAATGTCGTTCTACAGAAGGATGCTGAGAATACCGTGGACTGAACATATATATGAGCAATAACAAAGATTTAGAGAAAATTGAAACAAATAGGAAACGTATAGTTAATATCAGGAACAGACAGTTGAGGTTTCTGTGGTACATAATGAGGAAGGAGGGCTTGGAGAATCTGATACTCACAGGAGAGATTTAAGGTGAGACAGGGGAAACAACACATAACATATTTAGTGAGCTTGAGAAAATGGATGACGGAACAGAGTTTAGG